ATTCTATACTCAAGGGCCTTTTCCCATTATCACGATTTTCGTGCAAGCAAGAAGTCGTCGACTGACGGACAAACTCGCAACGCATAGTTTCAAAAGATACAGGTTAATGAAAATTATGGGGAATTTTTACAGTTGAATAATGATCTGAAGATACGAAGCTGGGTTTGATGCTTGGATTTCAGTTTGGATTGTGACTATTTTGACATATTGGTATTTTCTTGTTGCTTTTCTTATTACACAACGGTGTGTCTTTTGTGCAATCTTTGTATCTGAAGGTGATATTCACTTGTGTGTCTTTTGTACATTTTTTGTGTCGAGAGGTAGTTATCACCTACGTGTCTTTTACACTGAAATTGTTGAACAATCCCCTGAACATGTTCCAATGATAGACTCATAATTCATGTCACAGTTGATTCTCTATCCCGGTTTTCGTTGCACGAATCCATTGAAAAATCAAAGCTTCATACTATTTCAGTGAACACATGTTTGATATATTTTAGAAGAACAGAGTCAATAGGTTGAGATATTCTCATTTCGCGAAATGTGTATAAAATACAGATTTGCTAGAAATTTCTAGGTAAAAATGCATCCAACTAAATACCAAACGCTATTTATATATAACCTTGCTTACATAAATAAATAACACGTTAAACCATAACCTTTATCACGTAAACCAGTCTTATTTATACGCTTTAGCATTAAAACAGGAAAGATTTGGAGTGATACACAGTAACATTTCTACCACTGGTGCCTAATGCCCCTTCTCGATCGATCAGATTTTCTCATTAGACACTGTTACAAATAGAATGTTACAAGTATGAAATAGCTCCCAATGTAGAGAGAGCAGCCGTGTAACACACGCCATTCATACCCAGGCGAGTATTGGTAGTCGCAATTCTTCATTCATTGTTTTTCTTAAAAGTACATATGAAAGACAATGATTGATGATAAGATATCTCTGTAGTACATATTTACAAGGCATCAAATGTTTAAAGCAGAATATCAAAACGATTGATGTTCACAACTTGCAGTTAGCAAAATCAATTTCGTGTTATCATTTTGTTATAACAGAATGTTTATAATTAAGTTCTGTATGTTTCGATACAAGATTTGATAATTATTAAAATGTTTTCCTTCGGCGATCATCACAGTGATCACAAGGTACTCTTCTTGTTTGTTGTGAAGGAAACCATTTACAGTGTTTCACTTGTTATTATAATAATTATATACAGAAGCGGATAGTATAAACATATATAGATTGTAGATACCCACCAGAAATAGAATCAAGCACTTACCTTGTGTTTCCTACTATGGAACCGACAGGGATAGTTTGTACAAAGTTTTATCATTAGCGTGATGATTTCAATGCCCGATGTATTTTTTTCCATTTCTAGATAGCAGTATCCTTCTTCCCCAAACGATCGTGTTACATTTCGTAGTTCGATAATCAATGATTCGTCCACATTATCATAATATCCGCGGAAGACGTCGTCATCTGACAGATAAACTAGAAATATAGATAGATACAAATTATGTGGAAGTTACATGGTCATTATAACGATTTCACTGAGAAATATTCTATTTCGTCGGTGACATGAAGTCGGACGTGTTTGATGTTAGTTAGTATCCCTGCTGTATCATTGTTTACCGTGATGTCATTTGGGAACGCGATATTTTGTAATTGGATTTTTTCGAAATATATACTTGACGAGTGAAGTCGATGAAGCACAAAACACTTACCCATCCGCAACACCTGGTCTTATTAAACGTGTATATCTATTGCCCTGCTTCAGAGCCAAAGCATGCACCGAAATATTCGAGATGACATTGGGCTTGTTTAAGGTATGGGGTATCACCTAGATCTCAATTAATTACATTTATTTACTTTCAAAACCACGTGGGTCAAATGCTTTATATCTTGAAAACTTCATCTGAATAATCAAGAGGTGAATGGTAATGAAATTGACTATAATCGACTTTTGAATTTAAAGGATGGTTTAACTTTTTTATGAATGATATCCGAATAAAACAGGATGATTCGATTTCTTGTTGGCGCGGGTTCGGGGTTGCTGTCCCCATCCTCCCCTCAAGACTTTAATTTCTGTTGTCATCCTATTTTGACGTTTTGTTTTTAGGTTATGCTTGGTATTTCTTTTTGTTTTTTGAATTCATATCGTCCGTCTCGCTGTTTCCTCGTTTCCTGTTGGAAGTTCTGACGACTTTTTCTCGTGCTGCGTGCTTGACAATTCGTTCAGATAGGTTCCTGCTGTAGTTTAGCTTTGCTATTTTCTCACTTCCGGTTGTCTTTTTGGTTTCTGTGGTTCCCTTGTATTATATTCAACGATTTATTAACTTGCAAATAAAATGCTTCGTTGTAATTTGAATTGAATGTCGTAATGTATGAATTGTTCCCGGTATGCACTCAAGCCGACGATGATGTTTCCGCCGCTGTGCATATGTCATCTGTGTTTTCAATAAACTTTAGCTGTGACGTAAATTTGATTTTCGACTTACACTGATAAACGTTCCAGGAATCCATATTTAGAGTAGGTAATATGCATATGATGTAATATTGTGTCCAATGACATGTGGTCGACTTTGTCTCGTCAATATGACGTCAGCTTGCCCCCTCCCCCGCTAGCGACAGATGGTGGTAGTATGTATTGAATATGTGGTGCAGTGTGTCACAGTTGGCGCCAAGGACGTGTCATTTATCATGCTTTGGAATTAAAGCCTTCAGCGTGTACAACCAATCAATATTGAGAGGTTTTTTTACGCTGTGTCCGATATACATGGTACTAAACAACGTTTGAGAGAAATGTCAAAAGAGACTTATTGGACAGACAGAAAAGATGGCAGGATATGGTATGGGGGAGTAGGTCACCAATCAACAATATTGGGACAAACAAAAATGTTTATATTAATGTTTTTTATCAACGTCAGAGATTAAATAGCGGATGACATAGCTGACGCATGCTTTTTGTCAGAGACCAGAGAACAGAAAACGATTAGTGGTCCTGTATAGTTTGTTTTGTAAATATATACTTTTATATACGCTTGTCAGTCAACAGTGTTCATTAAATGGCCCTTTACATCCTATCTCTGAGAATTTACGATAATTAGTGGTAAAACTTAAAATGTTGACCAAGGTCTGGGTGCAAAAACAGGATCACTTAAATGTAAGTGTCCAAAATATATACGACAGTCTTAATCCGACACTCCCCTCGAGTCTCACTGGCCGTACAGTAGTGTATATCTGTTTCTGTAATTAGATTAGCGGATTGCGGATTATCGAGGTAAAGGATTATCAAAGAATTAGTCTCTAACGAGTACTGACCATGTACCCGACAGGTCTGTTGCTCGGGCCAATAATCCCCAACATACATTACTTCACATAACTACAATGCATGGCTTCTCCAACACATACTTTTTAATCTGTAGAAATTAACAAGAGTATCTGGCAACGGCTGAGTACTGTGTATACCCATATAATACAATACCCCTGGTTGACCTTTCCGTGTACCATTTGTACGGGTCTTCGCTACCATTTGTCTCGGCTATTTATGTAACATCTCTTTCCTCTGTGTTATCTGGATTAGAAAGTAGTCGTGAACATTTGTTTTCATGTTCAATCAGCCAGTTACATAATGGTGGAAATATTCTGTTTACACTGGGCAGTGTTTTTGTGATCATACACGAGAAACAATACCAGGGTCTGTAGTTCACTGTCATATAGTCCGGATGTAGATTCGCAATTATTATGTGTTACAGAAGGAATCACTTACCTGGACATTATCATATCGCCCCTTGAACTCGAAAATGAAAAAGAAAAATTTTGGGTAGCGGACTTAAAGTTTTGTCTTCGTCTGTTTGATATGCAGTAAAGTAATCGTAAAGGGAGTATCAAAACATGTGGTAGATAAAAACTGGAACTGCAAGGTTGTGTCGGTAACTGGTAGTCTCGCGCAAAGAGTACATCTACCCAAGGGAAGGTGTACCGGGTTTGGTGCCGTCCTTAACTTTGGGTGTGACGCGTGACTTTTCGTGTTATCATGGAAGCATCCGAGTATAGGACGCTGAATGTGATCGGGGTTGGAACCTCGGGGCGTGGTCTAAAAACTCTTAACAATAAAAACAACCTTGAGGAGTTATACCTGAAGAAAAAACTCGACCAGTACAAACGAGAACACACCTACAGCATCGCACACTTGGATCGTGACAAGTTTGATACCCACGACTTCCTAAAACATGTCAGTCAGATTGAGTCCGACTCGCATCCTGCAGCCATACAGTAAGTATTTTCAAAAACAGATTTTGGATAATTTTATTAAATAGAACGTAAACGGACCTTCTTTAAAACGACATATATGAGGAAGTGTTGCCCAACTTGTGAATAATTCCTGTTGTATCAACTTACCTGGTTTTCAGCTAAACCGATTCTTTAAACATTAGAAATTTAGTATTTCAAAGCAACAGGTGATCGCAAAGGTTTATGCCAAGGTTTCGAAACGAATTAAAGACATAAAAGATACCAGCGAATGTTTAACGACATCAATCTAAAAAGGCATATCACGTATCATATAGCTGAAAACAAGTATTGCAGTTTCAGTACGCAAAATTTATTTCAAAAGTAATGTTTCCTCTAGTAAAAACAAAAGGATCTGTACCTGGAAACAGAATCTGTCCACTGTCCGCGGTTCACAACAACTCCTGCCAACGTTGGCATCTTCATCGTTTTCGTAATTTATACCACTTAATTTATAAAGAATATTAAAGAAAAGTTGTTTTTATTTGTGTAAAATCTTAAGTCAGTGCACGATGAAATATCTTGTCGTCCCCCACACAGGTATCTCGGGAGGGACCCAAAGAAATCGGCCCGCCAAGGCCTAAGACGTCATCGCACTGCCCCTGGAGAGTCTGACCAGGAGACTGATGGCGAGCAACAGCCCTCACCTGTACCAGTACGGACACCAAATTATAACCAATCTCGAAAATCTCTAATGGTACCACAAACCACGCAAATAGTGATAACAGACATACAAAATAAGGAGGTGGAACCTGCTGCCGTGCCGGAGCAGAAGGGTAACATCAAGAAAGAAAGTCTCCCTTCTTTGGAGAGGAAGAAGTCAATATATCTCCAGATCGCAGCTGTGACAAGTAAAACTGAGGAAAACACCTGTGCTAGTAGTGATTCACAGTCAGAGCACGACTCAGACAGCGATCTTTTCAATACAGATGGCAAAGAAAAATCTTTCATGGCGTGGATGCAAGATCAGAAAAGCGACAAGGACAAAATCGCTCTGGCGCGAATTCAGTTCAAACGAGTAGATCCTCTTGTACGAAGAAGAAATGAATTCCGTCAGTGGTTAGCAGATCGAAAGGAAAAGAGAGAACGAAGTGAACAAAAATATTCCCATTTATTAGATTCGGACGGTCTTGGTACCATGAGTCAGTTGCTCGTGCCACAGAACCTGGGTAGTAGCAACGGTATGTCTTCCCTGTCACCTGGTGTCAGACAGTTGCCATCTTTTCACAGTGTCGGCAAAATGGTTGGTAATATGACAAAAGCGAAAAAGCGCCCAATTAAAGATAGAATGAGTGAATTTTGTAAAAAGTGTGAAGATTTGAAATTGGAAAACGCAAATTTTGAACTGACGGACGCTCAGAGAAAAAGAAAGTGGAAAATAATGACAAGAGGGGTGCGCGCCGCATTGGCAGACTCCAGTGACGATGATGAGGACATTTAAATTCTTCATGGAGCCGTGAAATAAAGTGTAAAATGTTGTGTGAAACGAACCCTAAAGTGTTCAGACTTACTAAAAGTATACCTATTATCAAATACCCAAGGTCCTCGTTACAATTGATGACCAGGGAGTGTCGTCAGACAGAAACATCTGTATGGGTGGAACTATTTACAGTCACTGACTAAATTTGACGGATTGGACTAGATCAGGAAAGATCGAGCGTGTTTTCTTAAAGTTCTGGTCGATTACCTTGACTTGGCATGTAACAAGATTGTATGAAAGAGGAAGTTATTTAACTAACCTAACAGTTAATGCATCGCTAACACTTTCTACTTGTTGTCTAGTTGTGGTATTTGTTTCAGTATGATCAGGGACGTAAAACTGGATTAATAAAATGGTTTTAAAGAATATTGTGATGTTTCATATTGTTTCGTTTGGTCTGTTTTGTGTACTGAAATTACATCATTTAGCAAGAAACTTTGATTCTTCGTCATCATTTCGGTCGTTAATTTCTGTGATCATATCACATGTGCTGCAATTGACCACCGGGGTTTAATTAGTAGCCAAACTCAAGTCGGCAAATTCTCAAAAGAATTTTCATGAGGAAAGACAAGTTGATTTAGTTTCAAGTGTCTTTATTTCACCCATGCACATATATATGTGCTACAAGAGATCATCCAGACAATACAGGATGGTCAAATCTACACTGGTAGTAAAAACGCAGGTACAACAATGCAGTTACATTGTGTATATATATAAAAAAAGAAAAGAATTTATATCACAGAATGGCCTTACTGTAATTAATCTATTTTCCCAATAAATGAGCTAACATTATTGAGTAATTGAACATTATATACAGTAAACATACCCTTCACATTTTATGTAAATTTTGGTATGTAAAGTAGTATTCCGGAATGAATTTTTGTCTTAATTGAAAAACACTTGGATTATTATATTTAAATAGAAATTCATCATCTACTTCCTCAGATAAAATCACAAATTCTATATTCTCCTGGAATTTCTGTCCATCTACATGTTTCTACTGGTAAATGAAGATTGGATGAACATAATATTTCTGTTTTTACGGTTCAGTTTCAAAAGATACTTTTCCATTCCAAAGTAAACATTAAAAATGGAGTCCACTTGACAACAGCTACTATTTTCAATATCATCATACCATTTTAGTATCGAATTGACTTGAAGTCTCTGTTGTTCTTAATGTTTCAAGCACTTTTTATTCAGCCTGTTACATTCTGATAGGACCAAATCTACTTTAAAGCAGTATCATTATCTATTTATTTGACATAACTGATCTATTTAAAAGCCATTTCAACCCTTTCCTGTGACTGAAACATTAACTTATAATTGCATTTTGCAGTGTGGAATTTTCCCCATTGTATCATACATTCCAGTGTGTACCATGGTTTGTTATCACTGGCATCTGGGCAAAAAATATGGTTTTCATTTTAAAAGTCCAAAAACTGATTCACAAGAATCTGTAAATATTTTGTTTATTTCAGCAACAACATTATTAATTTAAGTTTGTGCACTAACAGACTGTTGGGATTCACTTAACTGATTCAACTTTTTAATTAGTAAGTTCATTTCAAGAGATTTTGTAAGGTCTTGTTTAAGATTACATCTCCATTTAACATGTTTAGCAGTTATTTTTGTATTATCAGTATGGATAGTGTTTAGGATGGGCACTTCAGTACATGTATTTTGATGCGTAATTATATATTGAGCAATTCTAGAGTTAACATCGGATAGAACAGTATCAAAATCAGCGACACAAAGGATACTGATGATTGAAAACACATCTGCTGACAAAATGTTAATTAAGCTTGTATCACTACAAGTTTTCATACTAACATATTTATCTGCAGATTTAGTTTTTTTTACAAAGTTCAATTCATTTGTATTTGGTTTAGATTTATCTTCAATGTGTCTTTCTAGTGGAACATTAAATGTGGAGTTTTTTAAAGTCAAACGTATAACAGATTCAACAATATGAATTTTGTCAACAAAATTAGGGCCAGGGATTATAAAATCAGGACGAAATTTGTTCTCTGCATTTAAGTCACCCATTAAGTCTGCCTTCACCACTTGAATCATTTCACTTTCAATTTGATCATAACCATCAACGTCAGCTTTTTAATTTTTTTTTTTTTTTTTTTTTGGGGGGGGGGGGAGGGGGGAAGGGGGATAGGTTGGTTATATAAACAACACCAAGTAATATATCAAAAACATCAACATTAGCATACTTTGAGCTGTCTTCGGGTGTATAAATAACACCATTTACTAGATCAAAACCATCAACATTATCATACTTTGAGTTTTCTGGAGGGGTGGGGGAGGGGGTTATACAAATTGCACCAATTAATAGATGAAAATCAATCTGCAGTAACATTTTCTTCGGTGTAAACCATTGAATATATTCAGATTCAGTATTAAGATATTTCAATAAAGATTTAGATTTTTCTTTGTATATTATTATAATACCACCCGATTTTCTCTACATTACCTATGTTTAGCATGGTGCATATAACACTCAGGAACTTCCATTATATCCAAATTATCTGTTTTACTTTCAACAAATACAATAATCTCATTAGATTTAACCATGCCGATAAATTCTGTATGAATCAATTAAGATTTCATTCCACATACATTAAGCACGGATATTTTGAAATTGTTATTGAATTGAGAACCTCACGTAGCATGTCCCTAGGTGAAACCTGTGTTGGAGGGAGGTGGTATATTCTATATTGATGTGAGGTGTCAATGAATAAATGACTGCTGGCGCATGTTGGACATTGATCTTGGCTGCATCGGAGGATTGCTGTTTGTTAGATGTGATGGTGTATACAGTGGCGTAGGCGCGTGCTGTGGAGGAAGGTGCTGCAGTGGCAGGGGATATTGGCACACCCCATCGATGAAAAGCTTGTTACCGTTAAGCCTACATTTTGACCCGTCGCTTTGTATATTAGGACAAGATGTCAACGTCGTTCATTTATTTCTTGAGGACACCGACACTACACTGTGGTTTACTGGAATGTTTCTCCAGAGCTGCTTTCAAGACCCTGTCACAGTCTTTTCTACTCACGAACTTTGCACTAATAGAGCCTGCCGGTCGTACTGTACTCTCCAGAGTCGAGGGGGCGTGCAGTATCTAGTCATTCGGTTGCGACACACACATGTATGTCTCAGGAGATGATGGAGAACAGGATGATTGAACATGTAATGGCTTGACAGGAGGATAATATAACTCTCCATGAGCATTCCGTATGACCGTGCTGGTGTAACCAGAGACTTGGCTGGGCTGAGTGGGTACGTGCACACTATTCATAGTCGTCACGGGTGACTGGCCAGACTAAACAGTCGTTACCTTGTCGTGTTTTCGTTTTTTACTACCTCTTCCCATACATAAGGTTTTAACACATTTGAGTCCATGCAGCCATCAGGCTACCATCATTTTCACTTCAGGTCCAAAATATTCCATAGTCATTATATAGCTTCATGCTTACTGTATGAATTTATCGGAGCACCTGCATTAGCATAGTGACCATCTTTTGTGCCGGATGAAAGACCAAAAGCATCACATAGTCCGGTGAGTTTTCATTAGGGTGATACCTTAACTTGTATAGTTCAAAAATTTAAATTGTATTAAGAAATTCAGATGATTTAGTTTGTATGCACTTAAATTAATAACAAGAGGCCCATGGGCCTTAACGGTCATCTGACAAAAAGCAAGCCAAACCTAGAAAGTGGGTTGAGGTCATTCATTTGAACAAACTTGGTAGCCTCTCCTCCAAGCATCTTACAGGCCCAATATCAGCACTCATGGACTTTTGCTTGTTGAGAAGAAGTCGTTTGTATATTTTAACATATTTGACCCCTGTGACCTTGAAAGTGGGTTGAGGTCATTCATTTGAATAAACTTGGTAGCCTTTCCTCCCAGCATGCTACAGACCCAATATCGGCACTCATAGACTTTTGCTTATTGAGATGAAGTCCTTTGTATATTTTAACATATTTGACCCCTGTGACCTTGAAAGTGGGCCAAGGTCATTCATTTGAACAAACTTTGTAGGGCTCCATGCCAGCATGCTATGGGCCAAGTATTAGCCCCCTAGGCCTTCTAGTATTTGAGAAGAAGTTATTTAAAGATTTTGACATACTTGACCCCTGCGACCTTGAAAGTTGTTCAAGGTCATTCATTTAAATAAACTTGGTAGCCTTTCCTCCCAGCATGCTACAGACCCAATATCGGCACTCATAGACTTTTGCTTATTGAGATGAAGTCCTTTGTATATTTTGACATATTTGACCCCTGTGACCTTGAAAGTTGTTCAAGGTCATTCATTTAAACAAACTTGTTAGCCCTTCATCCCAGCATGCCACAGGCACAATATCAGCAATCTGAGCCTTTTGGTTATTGAGAAGAAGTTGTTTAAAGATTTTAACATATTTGACCCCTGTGACCTTTAAAGTGGGTCAAGGTCATTCATTTGAACAAACTTGGTAGTCCTTCATCCCAGCATGCTACAGGCCTTATTTTAGTTGCCTGGGCCTTTTGATTACTGAGAAGAAGTCCTTTGAAGATTTAAAGACATTTAACCCCTGTGACCTTGAATGAAGGTCAAGGTCATTCATTTGAACAAACTTGGTAGGGTTTCATCAAAGCAAGCTACAGGCTAAATATTAGTTGCCTGGGCCCTCCAGTTATTGAGAAGAAGTCGTTTGAAGATTTTAAGACAATTGACCCCTGTGACCTTGAATGAAGGTCAAGGTCATTCTTTTTAACAAACTTGGTAGGGCTTCATCAAAGCAAGCTACAGGCCAAATATTAGTTGCCTGGGCCTTCCAATTATTGAGAAGAAGTCGTTTGAATGAAAAGTTTACGGACGGCGCACGGCGGACGACGACGGATGAAGCATGAATATATCATCGGATAAACCTAAAAAAAAATGCAAGAGGCCCAATGGGTCTGCATCGCTCACCTGGCTAATTCAGCTTTTCAGCCATTTAATAAAAAAATTCAAATATGACAAACAATTTGATAACTAGCCCACTCCTGTAGCCCCATGGACCGGAGACTCACCGTTAATACAAAAACTGATTTCCCGTCACTCAAGCATACATCATATCAGTTTTGGACGATATCCACTTCAGGCAAGGCTAGCTAATAAAATAAACTTTAGGATCATAAACATAAATTGGTTAAATCAATCTTTCATCTTGACTTCAAGACAACAATTCATAAAAGACAACAACATGAAAATATTATTTTATTAAATTTTATTTTGTTACATTCCGTTACCTAAGCAAACGGAAAAACATGACACTTGTAAATTAAACAAGGGGAGATAATGCTTTATGGAATGTACCTTTCCCCATGATGAAAATTCCGAAATACAAAGAAAATATTAAAGCAAAAGATATCATTGAAGGTCAAGGTTATCTACAAATCCCTTTGAATGTGTAATCTGAGAGAAAAGATATTATCATTAAGATATCCCCATCAATTCAACTGTATCAACACAAAAATTAGCCGAAGCAAAACATTATTTTGCAGCACTGCATTACATAATATGTACCTGCATATACAATACAAACAATAATTTGTTATCACAAATGATCAGTGATACTTCATCATATCTGTAAAGTATTTGCCAACTTCGTTTACAATACCAAACCAGTAAGCCATTCCTTCTTCTGGAAGGAATAATTTCTAAAAAAAAAAAATATTGAAACTTCCACAAATAGGCATAGCATTTAGAATTGAAATACACAGAGTATGTTTCCCATTTACAAATTATTATGTTCAAAAACAATCATGCTTATTAATAACAGAAAGATAAAACCAGGTTATTAAAAATTCACTCACTATTTCTTGGCTTAACAAAATGAACACATGTAATTTTAGTGTAATACTGTAAATAGTTAGCAGCAGACAAAATACATGTCTCCTACAAAAATTTTGGTAAAGTAGTGATATATATGTACCGTCTTATTCCAAGTGTTATGACTACAGACTATTCTCAGTAAAGGCTACTTCTATATTTGGCAAAATAACATTTAATCAATCACCTGCCCAGGGATGACAAATGATTTCTCACATAAAACAATTAACATTACAACTGTGATACATAACTTTTTCACTATTTACTATCAGATTGATTAGTGGATGGGAGATTTCTATACAATGTTGTTCTGAGGTAAATATGGAGAAACTGTAAATATTCACACCCAGTTTAATTACGTTTAAAAAGGATAAGGGTAATATTCTCAAAAGAAGGTAAACATATATTTATGTCAACCTCACCAACATACAACAACAGTGATTACTGCTTATTTCTCTCAGATTTTAACTCCCAACTAGTCGCATGATTTTTTTTCTAGATATTTCAACATTATCACATTGGTAGTATTAATCATATTTCAAATTAAAATTATTAATTGTAAAATAATTTGCAGATCTAAAGTAGAATTCACTTAACAGTTCTAAACTAAAAATGTTGACATCTTCACTTACTGACAAGAACCAGAGCAAGTACACACAACATCAAATTAGGCACTTTATACTGGGGCAAGAACAAAAATTGGGGTCATGTACTCACTCTTACTAACACGATTGACATAACACAGTACAGGTTATTCTTATGGCAGTGTTATTCAAGTGGTTTTTGCAAAAAAAAAAAAAAAAAAAAAACCTGTATATTAAGGACACTATTACAACATGGTGATGTACCGTTCACAAAACATTTTAATACAAGGTAATTTTCATGCACACACAAACTACCCTGTACTGTGGAACATTGTTAATATTTGTTCTATCCAGTCAACCCTAAAGCAGTTTTAATTGCCTTACCCGTGAGATTTTGGGACATCTTTTTATTCTATCTTATAATCTCAGAGTAAGCTAGCCTTTTCAAAAGCTCTTTATATGAGAATGAAACTTTAAAGAATTGTACACCACCGTCTATGCTGTAGTATCATCAGTTTGAACAACGCACATCCCATCACACATTTCTCAAATGATTGAATTTAAAATCAATTTACAACAATTTCAAGAATCACTGGAATCATTTGAAAAACTAATGTACACGAAAAAAAATTATACTCCAATAATTTATCAATAAAATTAAAACGGCTGTACTTACATGCTGAATATAAGTCATACCTGTACAGAGGCTGCTGCTAAAGACACAACACTTACTTAACATAATAAATTCATTGTTGTTTATGTAAAACTCTTTCAAATTAACTTACATTTTAATAATCCATCAGTAACTATGACTAGTGAAGGTAGGTTAGATTTGTTCAAAATAGAAAACTATGTTAAGAACTGATGCAGTTACCTCCGAGATCAGACGATATCAAAAATACTGCAAAATGTGAACCATGAATTACAATTATGGTATAAATACTAAAACCAATCCAAAAATACTGATAAAGAAACTTCCAATAAGTTACAACAAAATTATTTTACTCGATTATAAAAAAATAAAAATAAAATCAGGTATTAAATTTTCTATTTTAGAAATTAATTATGTTAACTCTGGTAAATGCTAGTTACAATAGACTCCTTGACTGATGAAATGTTCTCTTCAGCTCAATAGGTTTAGCGTAAGGTAAGTGAACTGCAAGTTCTGGGTTGGAATCGGGGCAAAGGCATTGAAAGAAATAATAACCTCTGTTACAAAGACTTCTGTAAAAGATCACTCCACTAATTGTAAATTATCGGACTTCATTAATGCCCAGTAACCCGGTCACTGGAAAAAATAAACTTCAAAACTATAAAACACCCACTTCAAACCTACTCTATCAATCTCAATAACTGCATTTAAAACATTTTTCACAGGTAAATCAATATACTTTTCTATTATCTGTGTTCATAACACATGTATCCTTCACAATATCATTTCTCTCCATATCTTATTATGTGATGTCAATGTCAACGGAGATATTTTGTTCTACAATTTTCTGATATTCTACAATGTATGATAACGGTAATATTTTCTGTACTACATGAAACATTTCATAAAATACTTAATTCAATTATTTAAAAAATCTATCTGATATCAGCCTCATAACTCAATAAAAATCCTGCTAGAGAGAAACACAAACTGTGTAATAATGTAATATAAATATGTATAGAAATATCATATAAATATATTTAATAAATTTTACAGCATCTCTCTCTCTCTCTCGTATAGATCACCGTCACACTCCCTCACTCTGAAGCTACCATATAACAACAGGATATGTCTCTAGTAGATGTGTTACCGTAAATGTCTCCATACAAGTCCTTCTGTGAATGACTAGAGCGTAACAAAATCATAACAGCTCTCCAACATACAGGATCTTCTGAATGAGTTGTTGAACTATAATAATTCAAATATATCATCATTTAAGTATAATAACTTTGAATATAAATTGAGAGAAATAGAGGTCATTTATGTTACCCCATCATTCAATAACTTTTTTTTGCAGCATAAAAGTCTTTTTTCACATATCCACAGCTCTATGTTATCTGTCTGAAGTACACAGCATAAGGAATATTTCTGAATATTTTTGGTAATCTGTTAAGGAACCTGTGATTCAAGCCTGTTAGCAACTGAAGGCACATTAGGATAATTACTGTAATCTTATGAATCAATATTTGATAAGAGGTCTCTCATACTGTCTATAGGTCTGTTTCTGAAGAGTTCAAAGCTAAAGCAAACATTTCCAGTGATGAAAGTCATTATATTCGAAGTTCTTTTGAAAAGTGATTCTTAAACCCTATATTTTTGTATTAAGTTATACTTTAACAATACATTCTCAAGTGAAGTAATATTTAAACTCTACATTCTCACTAAAGTAATACTTAAACCTTACATTCTCGAGTAAAGTAATACTTAAACCTAATACTTAAATTACATTCTGAAGTGAAGTAATATTTAAATCGTAAATTCTCAAGTAAAGTAATACTTAAACCTTACATTCATAAGTAAAGTAACACTTAAACCTTACATTCTCAAGTAAAGTAACACTTAAATCTTACATTCTCAAGTAAAGTAATATTTAAACCTTACATTCTCAAGTAAAGTAATATTTAAATCTTACATTCTCAAGTAAAGTAATACTTAAACCTTACATTCTCAAGTAAAGTAATACTTAAACCTTACATTCTCAAGTAAAGTAATATTTAAATCTTACATTCTCAAGTAAAGTAATACTTAAACCTTACATTCTCAAGTAAAGTAACACTTAAATCTTACATTCTCAAGTAAAGTAACACTTAAATCTTACATTCTCAAGTAAAGTAACACTTAAACCTTACATTCTCAAGTAAAGTAATATTTAAATCTTACATTCTCAAGTAAAGTAATACTTAAACCTTACATTCTCGAGTAAAGTAATACTTAAACCTTACATTCTCAAGTAAAGTAATATTTAAATCCTACATTCTCAAGTAAAGTAATATTTAAACTCTACACTCTCAAGTAAAGTAATACTTAAACCTTACATTCTCAAGTAAAGTAATATTTAAATCCTATATTCTCTAGTTAAGTAATACTTAAACCCTATATTCTCTAGTTTAGTAATACTTAAAACCTACATACTCCACAGCAAACTGTAACCCTAAGATCTATTGTTCCTATTAACACATAAGAAACCATAGGTATACAGATGTGATTTTGTTTGCTAGATCAGTTTGTCTTTGGCCCTTCACTGATGTTCGACTATTTATGAAAAACATCTACAAAAGTAATACAACAATAATTGTTTCACGATATATCAAACTAGAACACTGGACTTAGAAGTCTTTAAACTACTAATTAGGTCTTGACACCATTTACAAAGTTGAATACAACTAGAATGGGTTTGTGACATCATCATCTAGCACACATGCACTTGATACCATATTTAGAAATCTTTCATCATTCTGTATTGCAATATATTGTAATCAGTACACTAACATCAAAGCAGGTCTTTTCATGAAATCACATGAAATATTAAGGGCTTTCATGACCTGTACTCTTGATCAGTGTTTATTAAAGACTCGTATGATCAGCTCTGATGTGACGTATGTCCATATGATGGCACACTTCAATCATTCCATTGTATCTTGATAAATCTCAAAACAAATAGCTTTGTCCACTTTTTTTGTCTAATTGTCTCATGATCCTAGGTCTGCTAGTACAAGTCATATATATCCAAACACTAATATTCTTAAAATTAACACTTAAATCCACCAATCTTGTTAGAATGGACATTTCCTTTTAAAGAAAAATAAGTCATGCAATTTGACATTTAAAAAAAAAAGTTATTTTACATCTAAGTAAAAAAGAAAAAAAAAAGGAGTCAAATGCAGAAAAAAAAAAAAAAGGATGAGAGAGAATAGATCAGTCATCTGCGTACTCCCTTAACACTGATCAGTGTTTGGGCTGGGCCTGAACAGGTTGTCCTGCTTGTGCTTGCTGTCCTGCTTGTGCTTGCTGTCCTGCTTGAGCTTGCTGTCCTGCTTGAGCTTGCTGTCCAGCCTGGTGAGTCTTGAAGAACAAACAAACATAATATGGGTCATTCAATCAAAAAGAATACTTGCAAGTTCCAACAAATCAGAATTTCTCAAAGAATTACATATAACTTCAAAGATAATTTCCTATGCAATGTTATCCTTATGTTGCATGTATCAAAGAGTTATCTCCCTTGTCTTAAATTTGCCCTCATGTCCTATAACTGCTAAATGTTTTGTCCCCATTGTCCTGTGTGAGGACTGTCCACTCCTGCATGCTAAAAGTTCCCTCTGTGACTTTTCAAAGAAGAAACGGCATGATAACACTGGTCCAGGAGTTTAGGGATAGTGTAGCCTATACAATTATTTTTTAAGGCATTTGACGGACTTCAAAATTTCCTTAATCTTAACCAAATCTATGTAGGCCCCGAATTCTTCCTTTCAGCTTCTGAGCATTTTTCAAACTGCTCGAGTTAGGATAAGGCATTATCAGGTCCTGGAGCTGTCTTCTAAAACCAGCATAATCACAATGTTCTCCGCTACAGATAGTTCCACTCTTTTGAAAGGGATGCAGGTTGCCCCAGACACGGGAGGAGTCGGGGAGACAGAAAACTTGTCAACCAACCAACCTAAGTCCCCTATGTCTTATGAATTAGCATTAGATGTCCTACAGTTCTACAAATGTCATCAAAAATTGTTGCGCCTGTTACACAATTTGTTATCACTAGGAACTATGTCCCTGAACCTCATCATAGTGTCAGAAGATCTGTCCTACATCTGATTACGTACAGTCCCAAACCCTGTCAAACCATTTAAACTATTTTTCCTGAATGTAAACAGCTCTCCTATCTTTTATTCTGTGTTGAATGATTTGTTACACTATCTTACCTGTACAGGTGCCTGACCTGCCCCCACTACAGGTTGTCCACCAGCAGCTGCTTGTGCTTGCTGTTCATGTTCCTTCTTTCCCTGAAACTGGTTTGCCTGTTGTTGTGCTTGGTTCATCATTATGTTGGCTTGTTGTTGAAAATTATCAATGGCTTTACCTACATCAGCTGGTAAACCCTGTTGTGCTTGTTTTGATGCCTCCATATGTGCAGCTACCTGCTGTGGCAATCCCTGGACTGGTTGTTGCTGCTGCTGTTGTTGTTGTTGCTGTGGCATTCCCTGCTGTGGCATTCCTTGCATGTGTTGCTGTTGTTGTAGATGCTCAACCTGCTGTGGCATTCCCTGCTGTGGCATTCCCTGCTGTGGCATTCCTTGAATGTGTTGTTGTTGTTGTAGATGCTGAACCTGCTGTGGCATTCCTTGAATGTGTTGCTGTGGCATTCCCTGTTGTGGCATCCCTTGAATGTGTTGTTGTGGTATACCCTGTTGTGGCATTCCTTGAATATGTTGTTGTGGTATACCCTGTTGTGGCATTCCTTGAATGTGTTGCTGTTGTTGTAGATGCTGAACCTGTTGTGGCATCTCCATTTCCTGAACATTGGGGTGTTGTGGTGGATGCATCTAAATGAACATATAACACTTTATAGTTACAAACGTTTGTACCATAGCAACACTAATGTCATAGATGTATAACTGTAACATAGCAACACAATACACCATGTCATATTTATACAACTGTAACATAGCAACACAATACAACAATGTTATAGATATACAACTGTAACATAGCAACACCAATGTCATAGATACACAATTGTACCATAGCAACACAATATACCAATGTCATAGTTATATAACTGTAACATAGCAACACTAATGTCATAGATATACAACTGTAACATAGCAACACAATACACCAATGTCATAGTTATATAACTGTAACATAGCAACACTTATGTCATAGATATACAACTGCAACATAGCAACATAATATACCAATGTCATGGTTATACAACTGTACCATAGCAACACAATACACTAATGTCATAGTTACACAATTATACCATAGCAACACAATATACCAATGTCATATTTATACAACTTTACTATAGCAAAGCAATATACCAATGTCATGGTTATACAACTGGACCATAGCAACATAATACACTAATGTCATAGTTACTCAACTATACCATAGCAACACAATATACCAATGTCATAGTTATACAACTGTAACATAGCAACACTAATGCCATAGATATACAACTGTAACATAGCAACACAATACACCAATGTCATAGTTATACAACTTTACTATAGCAACACAATATACTAATGTCATAGTTATATAACTGTACCATAGCAACATAATACACCAATGGCATAGTTATACAACTGTAACATAGCAACACTAATGTGATAGATATACAACTGTAACATAGCAACACAATACACCAATGTCATAGTTATACAACTTTACTATAGCAACACAATATACTAATGTCATAGTTATATAACTGTAACATAGCAACATAATACACCAATGGCATAGTTATACAACTGTAACATAGCAACACTAATGTGATAGATATACAACTGTAACATAGCAACACTAATGTGATAGATATACAACTGTAACATAGCAACACAATACACCAATGTCAAAGTTATATAACTGTACCATAGCAACATAATACACCAATGTCATAGTTATATAACTGTAACATAGCAACACTAATGTCATAGATATACAACTGTAACATAGCAACACAATACACCAATATCATAGTTATATAACTGTACCATAGCAACATAATACACCAATGTCATAGATATACAACTGTAACATAGCAACACAATACACCAATGTCATAGATATACAACTGTAACATAGCAACACAATACACCAATGTCATAGTTATATAAATGTAACATTGTAACACAAAACATGTCATATATAGAAATGTTTGCAAAATTCTGATGTTTTACATAACATAGTACCACAAATAAAATATTTTGATAGTTTTATTTTTATGTTTTCGTAAGGATTACTTTCAATGCAAGGTGTCTATTTTCCCACTACCTTAACTTACCACAACTCCAGGCTGAGCATGTCCATCAAAGGATCCCTGTCTCCTCCTCAACTCCTCCTCTTCTCTAAGCATCTTCTCATACTCCTGGAATTCTTCATCAGTATATGGGTCTTGTTCATCTAACGTCTACAACAAACAAGTAAACAAATTTTATCTATGTCAATCAGGTGTATAACAAGTTATGAGTAATTCACAATTGCTTTTGTAATAATTTTATTTTAACATGGATTTCTATTAATTTATTGATTTTAAGATAATCAATTTTTTAATCTTTTTATAATTTATAATAAATTTTAATATTTTCAAATATTTATGAAATTGACAGTTTTCAAAATTGATTAGCAGCATTTCACTACAGGTCCTATTACTTTGCCTTAACTGGTATCAATAACACACCTTGGTGCAGAACAGGTCAATTCGATGTTTTATTGTGGTACAAATTGGTCAAACAATTCATGATTGTTATATATGGTATTTCATCCATTCTTGCTTGATATTTTTCAAAAGTTACAAAAAAAAAAAAAAAAATTCACTAAAGCTCCTATTTATTTTGTTTTGATCTTCGGTTTTGAAAAATAACCAATGTAAGTGAAAAAATACTTTACAAAATAAATGCTTTCAAATCCATTATCCCTTACTATCAATATACCATTCATCCATTGATCTAGTTTTAGTGTGATCTCCTTACCTCCCCAACACTGTCCATCATTTCTACCTCTGACCTCTCCTTTGTTCCCTTACCCCTTGTTATCAATATACCACTCATCATATCAGTAAATCTAGTTTTAGTGTGTTCTCTTTACCTCCCATCCCTCATCCTTTTTGAAGTCCTCGCCATGGGTGTAAGTCAGGAACTCGTCAAGGGACACCAACTTGTCCTTGTTAGAATCAATTTCATTGACAACATGTTCCCGCATTCGTGCCATCTCCTCAAACCTTTCGTTCATGTCATCCTCGGGTGCATTTTCATCATACACACGATCAAGCTACAACGTAAAATAATTAAACATTTAATTTCAGCTTTTTAACTCCCTGGTGTTAAAAGGGAACTGAATCAAAACCTGAGTCAAATTGATAGGTAGATGCTTTTTGAGTGGGATATATTAATAGTCCACATAATGTTTTATTTTAAATTCATATAATTCTAGAAAGGCAACTTCACAAATGTCCATTAGCAGTTATCATATTTCCTGCTGTAGCATGATTCATAGACTAATTCCAGAAACCAAATGTTTTTATGACCTCACATGAATGGTGAAAACAAATCCTTAAATATATCATTGGGAGTAACACAATGACAATCTGCTCAGCAATATTTACTGACATTACACTGAACCATCAACCAACGTAAGACAATGTGATATATAGTTTACCTCCTTCTGGAAGAGCGCTTCCACCTCATCTTCATCCAAGAAACCGTTTCCATCAATATCTAGGAATGGAAAAATATATCAGATCAGAAAAATAAATTTTCAATTGCTTATCATGGGCAGATTGCCTGACCATTCAAATAAAATATACCTCATTAGCCAGTAAATTTTCATATATATCCCAAGTACCACACTAAGGTAATAGATATCTCCCAAGTACCACACTAAGGTAATAGATATCTTCCAAGTACCACACTAAGGTAATAGATATCTCCCAAGTACCACACTAAGGTAATAGACATCTCCCAAGTACCACACTAAGGTAATAGATATATCCCAAATACCACACTAAGGTAATAGACACCTCCCAAGTACCACACTAAGGTAATAGATATATCTCCCAAGTACCACACTAAGGTAATAGATATCTCCCAAGTACCACACTAAGGTAATAGATATCTCCCAAGTACCACACTAAGGTAATAGATATCTCCCAAGTACCACACTAAGGTAATAGACATCTCCCAAGTACCACACTAAGGTAATAGACATCTCCCAAGTACCACACTAAGGTAATAGACATCTCCCAAGTACCACACTAAGGTAATAGACATCTCCCAAGTACCACACTAAGGTAATAGACACCTCCCAAGTACCACACTAAGGTAATAGATATCTCCCAAGTACCACACTAAGGTAATAGATATCTCCCAAGTACCACACTATGGTAATAGATATCTCCCAAGTACCACACTAAGGTAATAGATATCTCCCAAGTACCACACTAAGGTAATAGATATATCCCAAGTACCACACTAAGGTAATAGATATCTCCCAAGTACCACACTAAGGTAATAGATATATCCCAATTACCACACTAAGGTAATAGATATATCCCAAGTACAACACTAAGGTAATATAAGGTAATAGATATCTCCCAAGTACCACACTAAGGTAATAGATATATCCCAATTACCACACTAAGGTAATAGATATCTCCCAAGTACCACACTAAGGTAATAGATATATCCCAAGTACCACACTAAGGTAATAGATATCTCCCAAGTACCACACTAAGGTAATAGATATATCCCAAGTACCACACTAAGGTAATAGATATATCCCAAGTACCACACTAAGGTAATAGATATCTCCCAAGTACCACACTAAGGTAATAGATATATCCCAAGTACCACACTAAGGTAATAGACATCTCCCAAGTACCACACTAAGGTAATAGATATATCCCAAGTACCACACTAAGGTAATAGATATTTCCCAATTACCACACAAAGGTAATAGATATATCCCAAGTACCACACTAAGGTAATAGATATATCCCAAGTACCACACTAAGGTAATAGACATCTCCCAAGTACCACACTAAGGTAATAGATATATCCCAAGTACCACACTAAGGTAATAGATATCTCCCAAGTACCACACTAAGGTAATAGATATATCCCAAGTACCACACTAAGGTAATAGACATCTCCCAAGTACCACACTAAGGTAATAGATATCTCCCAAGTACCACACTAAGGTAATAGACATCTCCCAAGTACCACACTAAGGTAATAGACATCTCCCAAGTACCACACTAAGGTAATAGACACCTCCCAAGTACCACACTAAGGTAATAGATATATCCCAAGTACCACACTAAGGTAATAGACATCTCCCAAGTACCACACTAAGGTAATAGACATCTCCCAAGTACCACACTAAGGTAATAGACATCTCCCAAGTACCACACTAAGGTAATAGATATATCCCAAGTACCACACTAAGGTAATAGATATTTCCCAATTACCACACTAAGGTAATAGACACCTCCCAAGTACCTTATAGGACATAATGGCCTTAAGACAAATAAGGTATCTAGGCCTTTTGTCTTAAAAAAAGAAGATCCAATCTGAATCAGTGAGATAGTATATTTATAGGCACCTCCCATGTAGATAGTACTTCCATGGAAATCTTACAAGCACCAGAGTAGAGGGTATATTAATAGATATCTCCTTTTTATTTTCCAACATCAAACATGCTCTTGCTTATTTCATTCTTTAGTATTATCATATACACAGTTGTTCATTAAAGGTGTTAGTTTAAGACTGCTATGTTTACTAGTAATGAGCAAAAGACATCAATTTTGAGACTTTCACTTTTCTTTGTTCAGGTTACCACAAAGAATTATACCCTTCTGTATAAGTACTATGCATTATTCACATTAATCATTGTGTGATGAAAATAAAATTTCTAAGTGTTACCATATTTATCAATGGGGTTTATATATTCCGTGGTCAGATGAAAATGAGTTTACAGTTGAATACTAATGATACAAATGTTAAATTTGATGCTGACAATATGATATACAAATTAACTGCTCTACATCCTCCTAGGCCTCCAAACAAAATCCAATCAATAATTGTTCTGGTAATGACGCAGGCATTTGAATCTTGAATAGGGTGATAGCGAGGTCATATAACAAATGTTTCATATGTACACTGCATTGTCCTGGTAATGGCATGCTAATCCCTCATGTAACATTATGACTTCCTGTACAGGGCATTCTGGGAATACACATGGAACTGACACATGTAGGTGTAACTGGGGAGATAAATGATACTATAGCAGTATACAGTACAGCTGCCTCATCACAAAGAGACAAGAGGACCGTTAACCTTCAATAACGTAAATGTACATCAATCCAGAAGACCAGTAACCTACAATAATGTAAATGTACATCAATCCAGAAGACCAGTAACCTACAATAATGTAAATGTACATCAATCCAGAAGACCAGTAACCTACAATAATGTAAATGTACATCAATCCATAAGACCAGTAACCTACAATAATGTAAATGTACATCAATCCAGAAAACCAGTAACCTACAATAATGTAAATGTACATCAATCCATAAGACCAGTAACCTACAATAATGTAAATGTACATCAATCCAGAAGACAAGTAACCTACAATAATGTAAATGTACAATTGTACATCAATCCAGAAGACCAGTAACCTACAATAATGTAAATGTACAAATGTACATCAATCCAGAAGACCAGTAACCTACAATAATGTAAATGTACAAATGTACATCAATCCAGAAGACCAGTAACCTACAATAATGTAAATGTACAAATGTACATCAATCCAGAAGACCAGTAACCTACAATAATGTAAATGTACAAATGTACATCAATCCAGAAGACCAGTAACCTACAATAATGTAAATGTACATCAATCCAGAAGACCAGTAACCTACAATAATGTAAATGTACATCAATCCAGAAGACCAGTAACCTACAATGTAAATGTACAAATGTACATCAATCCAGAAGACCAGTAACCTACAATAATGTAAATGTACATCAATCCAGAAGACCAGTAACCTACAATAATGTAAATGTACAAAATCCAGAAGACCAGTAACCTACAATAATGTAAATGTAAATGTACATCACTCCAGAAGACAAGTAACCTACAATAATGTAAATGTACATCAATCCAGAAGACCAGTAACCTACAATAATGTAAATGTACATCAATCCAGAAGACCAGTAACCTACAATAATGTAAATGTACATCAATCCAGAAGACCAGTCCCCTACAATAATGTAAATGTACATCAATCCAGAAGACCAGTAAATGTACATCAATCCAGAAGACCAGTAACCTACAATAAATGTACAAATGTACATCAATCCAGAAGACCAGTAACCTACAATAATGTAAATGTACAAATGTACATCAATCCAGAAGACCAGTAACCTACAATAATGTAAATGTACAAATGTACATCAATCCAGAAGACCAGTAACCTACAATAATGTAAATGTACATCAATCCATAAGACCAGTCCCCTACAATAATGTAAATGTACAATTGTACATCAATCCAGAAGACAAGTAACCTACAATAATGTAAATGTACAAATGTACATCAATCCAGAAGACCAGTAACCTACAATAATGTAAATGTACATCAATCCAGAAGACCAGTAACCTACAATAATGTAAATGTACAAATGTACATCAATCCAGAAGACCAGTAACCTACAATAATGTAAATGTACATCAATCCATAAGACCAGTCCCCTACAATAATGTAAATGTACAAATGTACATCACTCCAGAAGACAAGTAACCTACAATAATGTAAATGTACAATTGTACATCAATCCAGAAGACCAGTAACCTACAATAATGTAAATGTACAAATGTACATCAATCCAGAAGACCAGTAACCTACAATAATGTAAATACAAATGTACATCAATCCAGAAGACCAGTAACCTACAATAATGTAAATGTACAAATGTACATCAATCCAGAAGACCAGTAACCTACAATAATGTAAATGTACATCACAAAAACAAAATATAAACAAGAGTATCTTAATTAAATTAATTTTTGATTCTGCCACACCCTTTACAACACAACCTCAGGAATTTGTTAGACTCGTCTGACTGTGAATATTAACCATAACCTGCTATTTGCCAACAATGTTCTTCAATCATTGTCTCGCCAGAAATTATCATTAACGATACGTGACATCATACGAGACTGGTGCTTACCGTGGAATTTAAAGAAAGTCCTTGGTTCAAATGAGTCAGGGTCGAGATGGTCAGTATTCTCCCATACATCCTCCAGTTGTTTTTTACTTCCCTGAAAAGATGAGTTGAAAAACAAAAATTAAGATGTGGTATTATTGTAATGGAACTTGTCTAAATGAATACTATAAAGATCATTTTCAGAATTCAGAGGTTTCAAGTTTGAATCCTAGCTTATTCCTGTTTTTTCCATCTCTTCTGATACTGTGGTACTAATATTTTGTTCACTAATTTAACAGAGTCTATTTACATCTACTGTTATGTCACTTATCTCTCCAGCTGTAATGTCAAGGGAAGCATCTGTTCCAAGCCCTTATTTCAAGCCCATATAAGGACTCAAAAAGAAAAGAGATAACAGAATGAGGCACATACTTGCTACCTGACAACTAGTAATTAGATTACTCAGGTAGTTAGAGTTCAGAGATCAGGCGTCTTGGGTCCAAATCCAAGTTATGTTCTTTATAAATGTATATTTTTGTTCAGTGTAAATGAATTCCAAGATATAAGATCAGAATGGTAAAAATAAAACAATACAATTAGTCCTTAGTCACTGATGAAATACCAGATAAAAACATTAACAGGACTTGTTTACTGATACTGATATAGTTTTGCTGGATTGATAGAAATGTAAACTTTTGACCTTAAGAACTGAAGCTTATTCCGGAAAGCTGTGAAAATGGTTGGCCAGGCAGTCACAGCAATGCAACCAATTCACCTTTTTATTGATAAAGTAACAATGACCTTTACTTGCAAATCAGCCACAAATCAGCATTTTAAGGTTAAGAGGTAAAATATATATTGATTCTGATTGGCTGAATTTACCTTAAATCTAATATCTTAAGCTGTTCTTGACTTTTGAACTACAGATCTTACATGCATTCCTAAGCCAGCTCTTCTGGTTGAAAAGAATTATATGAAGTTTTAGTAGATTCTGATGTGGTATGTTGATGAGACTTGGAGTGATCACTAGAATAGGCAGCAATTATTTCTCTTATTCTTTTACATGTGTATCCATAATGATACTGATATGAGAGGAAGTCCCCTGTCATAACAATGGAATGAACTTACAACAACAATTCAATGACATCATGTCTACCATGTAGTTTCTCAGTTCCTGAGATACTACCATCATACTCACAGGGTGGTGAAGTTTTGGGTGGTCTTTATGCTTTTTCTGCATTTCTTCATAGTGTTCTTCTTCCTTTTTCCGTTCCTCTTCCGTCATATTATGTAATTTTTCTTGTCGCTCATGTTCTTTTGCCATTTCATAAGTTTTGAACTCTTCTCTTCGCTGTTTATCAATGGCTTCCAAGTCTTTGGTAGCCTGGGATCAGAAATAGCATTATAATGACTGATCAGTTGAAATAGAAATGAGAAACTTCAAATCAACAAAATCATCTTATCATATCTTGGATATATATTTATTTCAAACTAAACACACAGACATTCAACACATAGCTTACCAATTCCACCATGTAACACACCCATTTTTTCTGAGATGACGGTAGGCATGATAAAGTTAATCATAGACTTTAAATACTGTGGAAGACTAACACATTCTAACAGAACTAATGTACAATTAACTTACAGCTTAAAGATTCTAATGATTACTTTCTTGCTTTCTGAAGAACAAACCTCTTGTCAACAAGATTACTGTAGCATCATTGCTTTTTGTGGGGCATTTATTTTCCGGGACATTGTGGGTACTCTAAATCCATGAATTTGTACATCCACAATTTGTTGGAATGAACATAAGTATATCTATTAAGCCTTATTTGTCCACAAAATCAGTTTTCATGAAACTGTATTTTTTTCAAAAAAAAAAAAAAAAAACACACAGAAATTAAGGCCCATGCTTTTGGGTGAATTAATATAACATCACACTTTATTTTGACAGGAATAAATGTCTCAAAAAATCTAGAAACATTTTCAATATGCACATTACCTTTAATATAAGTTTTTCTAGATCAGACACTTCAAAAGAATGCTGGTTATCTGTATCAACATGGTGAGCTGAAGCATCCATCTTTTGGATTCCTACAAAAATCAATTGTCATGGAAACAACCAATAAGAGCTACATCTACTTCTTATATGTTTCAGGTATTGAGATCAAAGCTAAACGACATTAAATAGAATCAAATTAGATGGCTGTCTAGTATATTAAATCATGCAAAATGTCAGGAGTATCACAACAACCTGTAATCCAATCATTTGAAAATGAAATCGATTTGGTCTTTTTTTAATCATTAACTTATCAAGATAAACAAACAATGCAATGTCCTGACCAAATTCTGAGGATTTCTTTTTTAATCTTTCTCAAATTTTACATTTTGTATATCATAAAGAACCAATATATGATGAGAAAGTTAATGCATATCTATAATCAGACACAAAATTTATCAACAAAAAACAGTTTGATATTCAACATGAAAAGGTTATATAGTACTGCTCTATGATAAAATCATCACATAAAAGAATGTTTTTCTTTAAATTAACGACAAAAGAGAGAAATGTAAATTATCAATATCAAATGGTATTTTACTATCTCATTTTTCCTTATTTGTTTTCTTTTTATCTTTTTGTTTTTCTAGTAAAAATCATTTCATCCATTTTAGTGACAGGTCACATGTTTTGTGTTAGGGTTTATTCTCTGTCATATGGTATCCTTAAGTTTTGTAATTCAGTTCTTAGGAATATGTTTTTATGTGTCATTAATCAACACAATGAATTATTGTTCCAAAGTTTTGTATGTGGAGAAATTCTTTTTTTTTGAGAAAGTATTAAACCTTAAGAAAGGAATATAAACTGATGTTAGTATAATCAAACTCTCCAGTGTTAACAGTTATACTACATGCAATTAGATATGCTTTTACTAGGTAAGAGGTTAAAGGTCAAATTCAAATGTCAAGCTGTAGGAATATTTTCATTGTAAATATTTATGGAAAGTTATCCTGATCGACACAGTACAAATGAGATAACAAGTCCATTAATAGATTTCAAATGGCATTTTACTATATTCATGTATCTGTTTAAAGATGACAGTGCACAATGCCTGCATTATTTGTATATGCACTATTGATAAACGTATCTCCATAAAACACCACAGCAATTAAAACACCCACCAATATCCCCCTAGTCCCTGTGTTGAACCTCCGCAGCTCCCTCTACTCCAGCTAATCTGGGTCAGACCTCCATCTTTTCCACAGACATGCCTTATCATTGGGAGTAGGAGGAGGCCAAACAAGGGGTTATCAAAGAAGTATATAGATTCATGTACGATGACCACAGTGCATTGTGAACCTGTATGAATCACCTGCCATCATCAAAACTTACTCATCTCATAAATACTTTAAAGAAAAAAAAAGGTTGGAATTTAAATCTGGATCCTGTGTACGAACTGTAAACGATACTGTTTGTTACCGCCTTGCGAACAGTCATATCATTACTAATAAAACACAAACTCCATTGTATTTAATCACACCGTCATTTACCACACTTTTATTTGAATCATTCTACAGTATTTAAAACTCACAGGTAGAATATGCGAGTCCAAATAAAACATGAAAATGAGAAACACTGTTAAATAATTACGGTGGTAACATGGTTACCATGGCAATCACAACTCCTAGTTACAGTGCTAATCAAGCCACAGCTATAAACATTTTGTAAAGAAGAAGCAAACAAAAACTTCCTGCTTTAACAGTGTCAAGGGCAGATGGCTAACGTGCAGGTCTTTGTGTACCAAGTCAACTACCGCCAGAATCTTACACACACAAAACTGGCTAACACACACGTAATTCTTAACTCCATACGGAAATTTAAACAGCAATTAAACACACCTTGATAACAAACATTTTTTAAACTTAGTTATTTTTTATCATCTTTGTATTGGCTGTTTAACTGAATATTGATATAAAATGTCCCCACATACAATTGTGTTAACATATTTATAATTGTGAACGGTAAAAATTTAGACAGTGCTGTCTTTGGAAGATATTCAAACAAATGCATCTCCATCATCATGATCAATAACTAGACTCATTCCATCCGGCAATGTGATTCTGTGTGAATTGGTGAGAACCAGAGATTTATTTGTCTTGTGTGTACAGTCAAGCCTAGCATGGAGGCTGTTCTCCAACACAGCCACACAAAAAAAATCAATCACCAGCTAAAAATAGTGGCGTAGATGTTGGGAGGATATCAAGTCTGTGATACTATAAGTCCCATCAACAGTGTAGTGTATACTGTCATACAGAATTATGTATTTGTAAGTGTGAGTAAAATATCACTTAATAGTCAATATACAGGTGGTGTATTACAGGACTGCAATGTTTTAGACCACACTGGTTTTACCAAGAGGTGTGAGTACCAGTGCTTGTACACCTCAGCACGGCATCAACAATAATTGAAATCTACAGACAATTGACTTAGTGGTAGAGATCAGTACCGATAGCACAGATAATTGAATTAATTAGATTCATTTTTATACTGGACAGATATATTGTCAATGACTTACAGCGCAATTTTTAAGACTGATTTGGACTTTTAATTTTATGAATTCTAGCTCAATATTTCAACTGGAAATCTGTACAAAAGCTCATTGTTTCTAAAATCTATATGATACATGTGTTTTATTTTATTCTTATCTCTTCACAATAAACATAATTTTGTTTTCATGAAAAATCTTTTGAAGTAAAATGTCATTTAACATGGATTATGTTAAGCATGTTGAGCTACTTACTTATCTTGGTGTTATTTTGTGGTAAACATGTTACTAGTTTGAGATGTGAAAATTATATACCAACCTGAACTTGGAACGTCATCATCACTTCACAAGAATTAGCTTGGGATGATTACAACAGATTAAAAAAAAAAAAAATCAATTTTTTTAAAAAAGGAATTTGTTATAAAATATGACTTTAATGTTGAATGTTCTTTTTTCTTAATGCAAACCATTTACAAATATATCAACTTTGATGTTTTGTGGTTTGTTACTGAAAACTATTGCCAAACTGATGTGACCCCTGAAGAAGTAGAAATTAGGTTTCAAAGAACACTATGACTGATAGTATTACCAACATGTGTACATTTTCCAAAATGTTCTCTCAAAAATCCACCTGGTTATATGTTATACAGTTTCAGAACTACTTTGTAACCAGATCTACTATGTACAGTCAACACTCATTCACAAAGACCTCCAGAGTTAAATTTTAACATTTTTCTAACTCAATGGCCCTGTTAAAATGATTGTAACAGGAAGGACAGGGATTAGGATGAATGTGAGTTGTTCTGGACAACAGATGAATACAGATATTGACTGTGACGGTATATAGACATTAATGTCAGTCTGGCCAGACCACAGAATGACTATACAGACCAGGATCATTTTTCTAGGTGAGATTTCAGCTCGGTGATAGGTATGTGTACATATACTTCAGTGTCTCCAGTGTAAGGAAACAGATTTCCCACAAAAGAATGAGGTGACCACCTGTGGTCATTCCTTCATTATTGTTTCTTGACTTTACACCTGGCTCCATTGTGTATGAGTAAAGGGCAGATGTTTTCAAATGTTATTCACATCATTGGCTTCTGGGGGTGTATGGTTCATCAGGAGAAACCTTGTCTCACATACTCACATTTAATTTTCTTCTTTCAGAACTTAGTAATTTAGGGAGTGGTTTGGAGTTAAAAAAAAAAGAAGAAAAAAACATTTTTCCCTCCTACATCTAGTCAGTATTATCAGTGTAAGGGAGTCAACCTGGCACAAAATCATTAAACCATAAACTAATACACTGAATGACAAAGTGAGAAGGTATGTTCAACTTATAGAATTAACTGAAAAAAAAGTACCATCAGCCATGGAAGTTATACAAGGAAAGTATTGTCAACTTACAGGGTGAACAGAGACAAGTACCACATCAACCAAAGAAAATAATACGAGGAAAGTATGGTCAACTTACAGGGTGAATAGAGACGAGTACCACATCAACCAATGGAAATAATACAAGGAAAGTATGGTCAACTTACATGATGAATAGAGACAAGTACCATATCAACCAATGTAAATAATATGAGAAACACATTGTCAACTTACAGAATGAATTGAGACAAGTACCATATCAACCAATGTAAATAATATGAGAAACGCATTGTCAACTTACAGAATGAATTGAGACAAGTATCATATCAACCAATGTAAATAATATGAGAAACGCATTGTCAACTTACAGAATGAATTGAGACAAGTACCATATCAACCTATGTAAATAATATGAGAAACGCATTGTCAACTTACAGATTGAATTGAGACAAGTATCATATCAACCAATGTAAATAATATGAGAAACGCATTGTCAACTTACAGAATGAATTGAGGCAAGTACAGAATGAATTGAGACAAGTATCGTATTAACCAATGTAAGATAATATCAACAAAGAATGAATTGAGACAAGTATCGTATTAACCAATGTAAATAATATGAGAAACGCATTGTCAACTTACAGAATGAATTGAGGCAAGTATCATATCAACAAATGGATATAATACGAGAAATGTATGGTCGACTTACAGGATGAATTGAGGACAGTTATTAATGATTACTATCAAGCTTTATCTTCAAATCAAGGAAGTAATGTGAACTTAAAGTAGTGACATTGATGGGATTAAAAATAATGGTCATTTACTTCCAGGAATAACAAAGCTAATTTTCAACAAGATAACGCATTGCGTGACATTATCCCCTGGCCCTGCTATTTAAAAGAAAGACACAATCTTTTATATATATGTTAATATTATAACAAGTTTGTTTTCTATTTGTTATTTCTAATTGTTCCATACCAAGTATTGAAATGGAGAATTTCTACGATTGTACTAGCTTGATGCCTCTACAAAGTTTCGAGTACCGAGTAATTACCTTGAACAGTTTAAGAGAACTGGTTTCAAAAATAAGAATATTGTGATTTGGCCTATCTGTGTCCATGGTAACAGAAAAAGCATTTACCGGTAAATGGAGAACTTCCCCATAGCTTTATAAGTGTAAAATTGTCTTAAACGGTTTCAGAGCACTGGGCCAGAAAAACTAACATTTGTGATGAGGATTATCTGTTTCCATGGTAACAGAATTTTTTTTCAACTAGGGCACTAACTTAATATATACAGAAAGTTTTGTGGAGCAGAGTAGAATGATTTCTAAGTTGTAGACCAGAAAGGGAAGTTAACCCTAATTATGTGTTTTTTTTACTGTTTCCATGGTCACAGACAAAATATTGTCAATAGCAAAAGTCACAACTAAGGCACCAACCTGATATATATAGAAAGTTTTGTGAAGTTGAGTTGAATGGTTTTGAAATCATAGCCCAGAAAATCCCTTAGATGGAGGGATGGATGGACAGAGCCTAAAATAATATCCCCTGCTAACGTTTGTGGGGGATAAAAAAAAATTGATCTCATTGGTAGGCTACTTCATCAACTTTTCAATGAGATAATTCTTGTTTTTTTATTAATTTTCTTACTTCCTTAAAAAGGAAATGGCCTGAGGAAATATCTTCCTTAAACCAAACACTGCTGTTTGATGATTTCAGTACATTCCAGTACTACATGTATATAGACCTATTACAGCCAAATTCCTGGTATTATTATATATATACATTTAACTTGTATCCTAGCAACCTGGTATTGGTCATGTAAACATTACACAGGAAGGGATTACACCTTTATCATGACTGGATTAATAATCTAATACAGTAGCTATAATCTTGTCTGCCATCAGACCATAATTGTGCCTACCTGACATCAGATCAAGGACAACTGTCAGAAGTTAATACCACACACAGAGAAACACAAAAGGAACTTTCAGTTTAGAAAAAATGGTCAATATACTAATTAAACAAAGAATTTTCAGTGTTAGCATGCTTAGAAAACTAAAACTAATGTTTTAGAGATGTGTATATGTGCTGTAAATCTATTGTAACACTATTCTGTATGAGATATCAGGTTACTGAGAGAGATAGCCGAGTCAACAGAATTAATCACAAATATATAAGCTAAAGGTATACCATCAAACTCATGCAAAAGTAGCCATACAGTACAGGTAACATAGTTCTTGTGCAGCACCACACATGCTACTGCTAAATCCCACATTTCATTGTATAATAACAATCACAATGAAGAGTCATATACCAAAGTCTCACCATGAAACTAATATGTTACAACATCAACAAGTTGTTCCACAGTATGGATACTTTTGCAAAAAAAACACAGAGGTAAAACTGGATATAAATAGAAGAAAAAAGGCCTGTTAGTTCAAAGCTTGTTCGTTCTTTCTCCCCCCCCCCACCCCCCACCCCCCAAAATTTTTTTTTTTTATCCAAGCTAACCCCTGTATTTCAAAACAGAACTTTTTATATGAAAACTTATCAAGCATGGGAATCAAAATAATTCTCAAACAATTCAAACCCTGAAAATTATTTTTCTTGTTTAAGTAAAAATTGCTTGAAAAGAAGTTAATATTTGTAATAGCCTGACAAAGCTTTGAACTGAACCTGGAAGTTAGCAGTCTAATTGTACTGGTCAAGCTCTGAGTATTGGTGTAGTGGACAGGTATTAACACCACTACAAACTGCAGAAAGATGACAAACATTGATATCATACCTCCGAATTGAGCAATATATTTCAATATTTGCGTACCATGCATAGTCTTCATCTTTTCGCGAGCCAATGTTTTTAATCGGCTGATTTCCCTTCTCTTTATTTCATCGAGTCTTTCTCTTATGTTGTGTGCCACCATGTTGAGATGAGTCGCAATTTTTCCATTCTGAAAAAAGAAAGAAAAAATAGGAGTTGTAATCAAAGGTATGAATACAAGAGATCTTCTGAATCATAAGCACATGTAAATTCAAAATAAAATGTTTCAACAAAAAATTAATTTTAAAAACCGAGATTGTGATTTATAGTCTCCTTTGCTGAATTTATTGTCTTATAGATACATAAGTCTCCACAACTTAGGAACTGCATTCAGTGAGTCTCATCTGTAGCTGCCAAATAATGACAAAACGTGTGTGTGGATATGGAATTTCAGATGCCTTTCACACACTTAACTTGAGAGAGAGTTTGATGTGAGAAATGTATCAAAGTCATGAAAAATTTCACAAAAAAATACAAGAAAACATCACTATTAAATTGATGTAAAATCAACCTTTGATGTCTTCTGATTATATGAACGTAGATAATAAAGAGGGGTTTGGAATGTACACTTTTGGACTTCAAAACCTTACCCTTCAAAATAAACTTTAAAAAGGTTTGAGTGTGAAACAAAGGTTGGAAGCTAGGAACATGATAAGCTCAAAGTTATTAATAAAGTTACCATACAAAAGCAAAGACTATTTGTTGAATATTTGAAAACATACTAAACTACCTGTGGTGTCACCTGTATAAATCTTAATTACCTTTTCAAAAAGAAGACTGCTCCAAAATACCTCATTCAAACATAAAGTATAGTGTAAGGAAAATAGTGCATCCTTTTTTTTCAAATTTAAACTTATCTCATTAATCTTATTGAAAATCATAATACCTGACAGACAATGACTGTCGGTTCATTGTCAGTTCACAATGAATTTATAAAATGACTCTTAACCAGGGCTGTAGCTACATTTAAAATCCCTTTGAAGACAGTCAATAGCCATTTTCATGTCTAATCTACTCTTGAATCTTATACAATGTTCTTCACCTGGAAAGCATGACAAGAATTGAAATTACCTTGATTTCAAACATGCTGAAAATCACATTTTAATGGAACTTATTTCTTGCTGGTGACATTTTGTGAATGTTTTCTTTTGGACTATTAAGGTTGAAATTGAATGAAATTTTACAAAAGGGAGTAACTGATTTGGAACTTTAAATATAAACCCATCACCAAGCATGCAATCTAAATCAGGTAAAAGGCTTGATCTGTACACAATAATATAAAACCAGAGGTCAAAATTTGAAACTTTTAGATATCATTTCTCTGTAGGTGTTGCTTGCATCAACATGTCAAGAAGACCACGAGTTAACAAGGTGGTGCATTATTATGTCTGAGCACACCTGTGATGAGCCAATGATAGTCGTTATGATAAGACATCAGTATAACATCACACACCAGAATTCTTCTTACAAACTAACAAACCTCTCAGTGGCAGAACTGAACAGATATTGATCTAAATCAACAAAAGTCAGCACTGACAAGAAAGTGACCTCCTCAGAGTGGTTTCTGATTGTTTTTTTTTAAGGAAATCTTTTCCTGAATAAAGTTTTGATGGTTACTAAATACAAAACATTAATCAGTATGTCAATAACACATAGAGAAATATTTAAAGCTGGAAAAAAAGTTTAAACTGTCAAAGTGGCTTTTAACCATTTGCTACATCTCTACTTGTAATAGACCTTTACAATGCTAGTTATCTTTAACAAGAATAATGTACTTCCAAACACTAACTCACAAAAAAATATGTTTAAATGAAAAAGATGGCTTCTAACCATATGCTACATGATGAGACTTGAAATAGATCTGTACAATACAAGTCGTCTTCATCAAGAATAATGTCTTTCCAAACACCTAATTCACAAACTAGAACACAAAAGTATGTATCCGAGTTCAATACCTAAAACTACTGTATAGAAATGGTGGAGGTTTCCCAGTACCAACAGGTCATGATTAAAACAAAACAAGATTGCAGTGGAAAGGACACAAAAAAGTCCTTTAAAAATCATGGACAGTTATCTGATAAATATATACTTACATATTTCTGAGACATAAAAGAAGATAGCCAGTAATCAATACATATAGCATACAATATTGGTGAAAGTTTATTAAGGCAGTGTGTTTCATTACTGCAAATTTCTTGACAAAATAAATTCCATGTTCTATACACCGACTCTAGTGTAACAAGGTAAAATATCAGAAGTAATTTATTCTTTAGCTAATCGCAATGCTTCCTCTGGACAAAGGGTCATAACTCTAAATATAGTGGAACCACCAGTCACAACTGAAAAGGTACTTTCACGTTAAGTTTTTGGTCATTATATAAGAAGATATGTTCTATTCATGAGGGAAACAGTACAAACCTACAGGCACCTACTGCTATACAGGTCTAAAATGAATACCTTAAAGTATGCAACTTTCACTAAAAAAACTGAAGAGAAAAATTAATCTATTTACATAGCTATAGTAAATATTAACTTATCTGAAGCACACTCCAGAAAATATTGTAGGTTGGTATTGATGTTAAAGTAGTTAAAATTCTACCTGTTATATGGCATGATGAAAAGTGTGCAGCATGTGTTATCTTGCACTTTACCTGTAAATACTCCTGACCTTGCACTTAACCAGTAAACGCACCTGACCTTGCTTATTACCTGTAAAAACTCTTATGCAAAATATGCATATTGGTAACATGGTTTTCAGGGGTTGCCACTGGAATTTTGTAAAATATCTTTTTGTATTTATGATGAGACCCACTTTTGTTAATTTCTATTTGTTTTGGTATCGTATTACAGCTTAGGTATATTTTGATATAAGTGTGGACACTCTCAAGCTAACAAAGACACTAACACACACTATGTATAGCTGGACATCTAAAATCATGGAGGTCAAATCAACACCAACAGGACCATCATGTGCAATTCAATGTCCATAATTAATTTTTGGAGAAAATGGTGAGGTGTAATTATCAGTATATTTAACCAATTTCCAATACTTTCCTTGATGAAACTTTAAGCTCAATTATCTAGACCAATAGCCTAACAAAGACAACAGATATGTACACCTATATAGATTTAATACATTAACATAAAATTTGACAGTTATTAATTCCATGTATTACTGTTTAAATTATATGTGTAGCCCATACAATTGATGTGTACAACAATACATGTATTTATAAATACTATTCAGTATCCCATCACGTAGAAAGCCTCTGGCCATCAAACACTATGTAATGTGACAGTTATATTTCCCTGTGAAGTTGATAATCATAGCATGTTACAAATGCCTCAGGTCTTATAATAACAAATGATGAATGACTCCATAATTAATGGACCTAGGAACATCCACAATGTCTAAATCTGACTATACCATCTGACTAACTGTAAGCATACAACCCTCCTATCACAGGTTACAATATTGATCTACATCATCATGGTACTCTTATATGACATTACTAGCAGGTGCTCTAGTTATTGAAAATAAAATTTAAAATATGTCCTAATTTTTTCTGTTATGTGATTGGTTAGTCTGGTGATGATTGTGACATACAACGCTGTCTGCTATATCAACACTGTGCTATATTTTCACACTGTGTCAATGTGAGAACAGTTAATCCATATTTTCATCCAGTCTCTTATTCAATAATATTGATATTGGTCTTCACACATGACCCCCTAAGATGTGATCAAAGGCCTTGTACTGTTGAAGGGTTAAACAGTGCAGCTTGTTTCCTTTCAAAACACTTTATTTACACAGCTAGTGTAACAGTGAGTTATAACATATATAATAAGAGGCCCATGGGCCTAAAAGGTCACCTGAGGTCTTCAGGTCTTTGGACAGTTTTAGAACCTGTCCATCAGTCCCAGCATTTGGGCAGGTGGAAGTGATAACACTCTCTTTTGTTGTAGTTTAGTGTATTTTTCCACTATAACCTTCAGTTTGAACGTCCAGGTCATTCATTTGAACAAACATGATATCTCTTCATCCCAGCATGCTACTGGCCAGATATCAGAACCCTGAGCCAGGGTCTGTTGTTAGTAAGAAGAAGTCGAAAATGTCAATTGTTTTTGATGCATAATGGACGACGCACAGCAGATGAAGCCTGACCAAAGGTGATTGCAATAGGTCATTTGAGACTTCGTCTCAGGTGGCCTAAAATTTCTCAACAATTGGTCAAACATAAAAGAACCAGATACATATAAGATTGTCTAAACCATCTTTGTAGAGTTTTTGTAGATTTGCTATTTGTAAATTATTATATCTATTTTCTAATCAGCAGAGTTATCTTTATTAAGACAAAATCAATTCCAAATTTCCAGCCAGACATAAGAGCAGTCAAGTTAATTACTGGCCCCATCAGGAACAAACAGTCAGTTACAAGGAGTTGGGACTCCAGATAGGCCATATCAGAAACAATTGGGCAGTTGTAGGGAGTTGGACACCAGCTAGGCCACATCAGAGATAATTGGGCAGTTGTAGGGAGTTGGACACCAGATAGGCCATATCAGAAACAAATGGGCAGTTGTAGGGAGTTGGTACTCCAGATAGGTCATATTAGAGACAAATGGGTAGCTGTAGAGAGTGGAGTTGGTACTCCAGATAGGCCATATCAGAAACAAATGGGCAGTTGTAGGGAGTTGGGACTCCAGATAGGCCACACCAGAAACAAAAAGTCAGTTGTAGGGAGTTGGGACTCCAGATAGGTCACATCAGAGATAATTGGGCAGTTGTAGGGAGTTGGACACCAGCTAGACCACATCAGAAACATATGGGCAATTGTAGGGAGTTGGTACTCCAGCTAGGCCACATCAGAAACAAATGGGCAGTTGTAGGGAGTTGGGATTCCAGATAGGCCACATCAGAAACAACTAGTCAGTTGTAGGGAGTTGGACACCAGATAGGTCACATCAGAGACAAATGGGCAGTTGTAGGGAGTTTGGACTCCAGATATGCCACATCAGAAACAAATGGGCAGTTGTAGGGAGTTGGGACTCCAGAGAAACAACTAGTCAGTTGTAGTTGGACACCAGCCACATCAGAAACATATGGGCAATTGTAGGGAGTTGGTACAG